ATTATTGATTTATATATGTAAAAACAGTACTTTTAATTGTTTTGTGGTAAAATACCTGGGTGATAATTTAGAAATCATTTTGCAGGAGGACCCGGCACAGAAGACAATGGCCATGGAAATCCCAAGCACTGGAGACGTGTCAGGCTTTAGTGTATGATAGTAGATTGCTACTCATATCAATAACAAAAGAAGCAGTAGTGAAGCAAAATGGAACATAGGCCAATCCCTGCTATCACAGTCAAGTCCCTGCAAGGGCTTGCTGTGTACAAGCTGGCAAGGATGTTGCTGACAAGTGCCATTCCACTGAGCCTGGAGAAATATGTCCCCTTCCTCAGCCGTTACGACCATGTGGATGTCAAGGAGACTGATGCCTCCTTGATGCCCATTGGCTGTGGAACAGTCTTCCAGCGCAAGAGGCTAGAGGGAAGGAGCGACAGTCTTGTCCAATGGAACACCCTCGATGACATCATTCTAGCCGAGGCTGGACAGTGCCATGACCATCTCCTGCCAGCTAAAGAAATTCTCATTGTAAGGATTTATTTAGGGAAGATGTATTTACCTTACATTGATATTCTTGTTTTTGTTCATGTAGATTATATATATATATATATATATATATATATATATACATTGTTACAGTTGGTTAGATAAGTACAGTTTGTTAAGGTAAACCTAGGTAGACATTTAGTGTTGTGTAGAATGGTCTGTTGTCTGTAATATTTTTTTTATGGCTTTATGAACTTTATAAAGGTAAAAGTGTATATAGTAGATTTACAATTTCTTTTGCATTGTTGTATTTGATATTGGATTGTCCGTAACTGTTTGGGAAGTGTTGGATTTATTTTACCAGAGTCATATTTATGTGAGATAAAATCAGGATAGGAAGGTTTATGTAGAAATTATTTAAGTTCACTTCGTTCTTTTTTTGGAAGATGATTATAATATGGTGTTTTTTTTTAATTAACGCTTTAGCTGAGGATCTAGGTAACTGCTTAATCTATTCCTCTTCTTTCCCGGTTCCTTCTTTTATGGCTTTTGCATATTAGTAATTTCTCATTTTGCTTTTTTTTTGTGTGTGTGTGACAGAAATGTGAAGGTAATGCTTTGTCTTTTGATTTTGTACATTATCTTTTTTTTTATTAATTTATTTATTTACTTTAGGGCAGATTCTCCCACCTTTCATATTGATGTATATCCTTCTTATTTGAGAACTAGTACTATTCAAAGATTTGATTTAGAAAAAAATGGTATTGATTTTTTTTTTTTTTTTCCTTCTTTCTTTTTCTTTTTTTTTTTTTTTTACTCATTGTCTATTGTATTGGTAGCCTGCTTCATATTTTTGTTTTATTTTCTGCAATGAGCTTGTGAATAACTTTTTATACATCTTTAATATATATAAAAAGAAATACATTTGTTATTTTTTTCTTTTTCTCTTCCATTTTTATCCCCTTTTTTTCTCTCCATTTTTTTACTTTCTTGCTTTTGCTGTATTTTCCAGCTCATGCTCTTTCTGTCTTTCTTTATCTTAGTTTCCTTTTCTTTTTCTTTCTTGCTCTCATTTCCATTCTCTGATTTATCTAGTTCCTTTGTTAGATATAAAGCTTTATTTTTCATATCTGGCTTCATTAGCATAAATTCCTTTTTTTGTATTATATAAGTAATACTGTAGGGTAAATCCTACTTATTATTTTACAAGTATATAATAAAGTATGCTAGCTTTCTTAAGAAATTTATAATATTTTGTAGATTTTTTTGTGTGTTTTGCCTCTATCTACTTGGAAAACTGATGATGTTTGTAGATGAGTTTATGATAAAAAACGAGGCAATTTTGCATTTTTCAGGACCAGCTTTTAAATCTGAAGTTCATACCACTTCTCTATGTCCCCCTTAGATTTACATGTAATAACATTGATCAGACTTTTTTATGCATGTGTTGTGTTAAATAATTTTTGCTATTCTATTTTATAGATACAGATGTATGAATAAACATATACACCTATATACTGAAAAGATGTAAAAAATGCATACAAACATACACAAATATATACAGTTATTTTGGCACATACTTCAATTCTCACATGTTTATCGTTTTGGAAAAGATAACTAAAATTATGGTTATAAACAGAAATTTACCTACATTCATAAGCATTGATGTAGAAAGGTATTTCACCAACGTACTCTCTTGTAGGAGCATCTAGTGAAGGTGAAGCAGTGGTGGGATAATGAGGAATGGTTGGGCAAACAAGACAATAAGACCAGGAGGATGATACGGGATGTTTGCACAGACATGCTGGAACTCTTCAACTCCAGCTGCACGTGTCCGATTTTCCAACTGACCCTGGAGCTGATATTCTCAAAGAAAGCCGGGACAGGACAGGTTGGTGATAAGGAGTGCTTCATTTATTTATTTATCTATTTATTCATATTTACCTTTTTTTACCCTCTCTTCATTCACATTATTATGATGATTTCAATAGTTGAATTAGTAATAGTAGAGACAGTATATGTAAAAAAAAGTCCTTAAAGGAATGCTACACAAAATTTTATGTACTATATATTTTCTATACAAGTACTGTACTCTACTGTCTCTCAGAACTCCGTACCTTTTCCTTTGACAACTTATTCTCCTTCCTTAGATGCATAAATATCCTAAACTTGATCTAATCACCCTCTATCCTTATTCTTCCCCCTCCTATCAATAACTTTCCTACTCCTTTTACTACCCCCTTTCTACCCCTTACACTAACCTCTATCGTACCATATGACCATTGAAACTTAAGTAACGTAACCCCTTTCATTACCATACTTTACCATAGTGCTATATGACCTTTGATGTGTAGCACATTTATTTGTTTAAAACATTAAACATTATATAAGTACTGTAAATGATAATGTAGCTATTACGATAGGACTTGGGGTATTTCTGTTTTGGCATAGTAATATTATTGTTCTTAAAATCTTTAAAACTCAAATAAAAATAATTATACCAGAATGGCATAGATTGTGCAGCAACTAATATTTATGTTCAGTTATAATAGAGCTCATATTTTATAGACTCAATATATTTCCAGTAATAAGTTTTGTCCTGTAAGAAGGAAATGATAGAGGCTTGAGAGCATGCTGTCCCTCAGTATAATGATACTTGAAGCTCCCTTGCCTAATTCAGTTCAAGTCTTGTCATCTCGTTTTTTGCCCACATGCAACTTTTTAGAATTAAAGAATGAAAATGCATTTCATATACAGTATTATTTTGCTAGGTTCAGTTTTGTTTTGTCTTTCTTAAAATTTTGTATAATTGTGAAAGACTGTTATATATCAGTTATGTTTTACACAAGTAATAATAATAGGGCCATGAATATGTGACACAAGAGTCTCTCCTATCATAGAAAATTTTGAACTTACTCAAGACACAGCTCAGAATGTTTGTCATGTCTTTGGAGTTGCTAAGGATTTGCATTAGAATAAAGACTGCTTGATGGTTAGTTTTTCCTTTTATTAAGGGCCTTTGTTTGTTGCTCTTGATTATTTGTATATCTTATGGCTTGTGTTATCTTAATAATTTTTTATTTGAATTAGTATTAAGCATATTAAAGAATTCTCTTTCCTTTCAGATGTTAAAGTCAGTTTCAAGTGAAAGATGTGCAACACTAAGCAAGTTTTTCCAAAAGCTCCAGCCATTTGGGATTGAAAAGTTGATAACAACCCATCTAATGCTGGATTGCCCATCGGTGATTGTAAGCATTTGTGAGAACTCACCCCTCATGAAGTACCTCCACTTGAATATAGAGTATGCAAAAGGAGACATTCTGAGGAAGATTGGCCTAATCACACCCTCACTTGAGACTGTCATTGTGGTTGTCAAAGAGTATGAGCTGAATGAAAAGGTCTTACCTACTCTGGAAATGATCATTATTGGTGGGGAAGGCCTGGAGGACAACCTCTATTCAGGCTTCTTCAACGGTCTGACAAAAAGTGAAGTTGTGCAGAAGATCCAGGAAGGAGGCTCATGTGAATTGTCTTTCCCTAACTTGAAATACATTGATGTAGGAAGCCACAGGGATGTCAGGGAGTTTCTTCTCCATTTGTTGTACTTCTACCCCAATATTAGGAGTGTGACATGTGATTCAGAGAACTGGATTCTGAGCAAATACTCCCTGGATTTCCCAGTGATGACTCAGGCTACCCTGGACTACAAGCCAGTGTCTCTCTGGGGTAAAACGATGATATACCAGCTAAAGGATATGAGCTTTTCATCATTTTGCTTGGCAGCTGTCAAAGTTCAGGACATTGTTTCACGGTACCAGAGCCTGGAGCACATTAGTTTGCACCTGATTAAAGGCTCAAGGAAAATTGAGTTCACAAACGAAACAGCAAAGGAATTGATTTGTGGGATCAACTGCAGATGTCTGACAATCTGTGTGGAAGTGTACATGGACAGAGCTGACCTGCTGAGTTTATACACACCTGCACTAAATGCCATGGGACCCTCTCTTCGGATCTTGCAACTGCATTTGACCAATGAAGTGAATGTAGGCGCTCTGTGCCAAATGATAAACATGTGCCCTCACCTAGAAGAGCTGGCACTCATGACCTCGTGTGAGAGATGTGAAGTAGAAGGGGAAAATTTCACCGAGATTCGATGTTGCAAGTTAGGGGATCTCAAATGCCTAAGTTTTTCTAGTCGGTATAATGTTACAAATGCCATGTATTCTTTAATGGAGAGGACTATCTTTGCTGCACCTAATCTGACCTCACTAGAACTTGAACTTGGAGGGAACAGAGTAAGTGGATGGCTCATGAATATTGCTTCAGCTGGAGCACTCTCTAACTTGAAGCTGCTGCGCATAAATTTTCCAAAGATTTACTTTGATTACCAAGTTCTCTCTAGCTTTCTCTTTTCACTAATTAGCACATTGCCGCGGCTCTCATGCCTTATGCTTGGAAGCGTTTGCGATTGTGTTGTAAGGCGAATTCGAAAAAAGTATGAATATTCACAGCTAAGGATCATTGGAAGAGAGTCACCATATATTGCATTCCGATGCCTTACATCCAGATATTGTTGACTATCCTCAAAAGGCCATACAAAATCACAATATATTTATAGGAGAAGTCAGTAAGTTATTAAAATAATGGAAAAGTCATGAGCAGCCTGCATGTTATGTGATGGTCAGAGCTAGTCCATTGTACCTGAGATAAATCAAATGAAGTATTTAATTTCTGATTGGTTTATCATTTGCTTTTGTTAGCTTATGATATTTTTCTTATGCATGATTAGGACATTTATACTTTGTTAGATTAGAACTTTTTTTATGGTTGAAGTGTGATGACAACTGTGCTTATAGTAGCAGGATATATATATAGGACTGAAAAAGAATATGATTTGAAAGTGAAGTCTTTACTAATATGTGTGATTCTGAATTTTTACAGGATCTTTTAAAGGTTTATGTGCAGAGTATACAGTGTGTGTGTGTTTTTGTGTGTGTGCATGCACGCATGTATGTGTGTAAAATATTTATTTCAAAAAGTTGTCGTTCTGAATCAAAAAAGAACAAGTATAACATGTCAGCCAAATTATAGTGTAATATTTCTCTAACTAAACCATCTCTTTATTTGCTTTTGGAGGACAGACAGTGTAAAAATTAGCAACCCATGAAGAAAATCACCATGGGAAAATTCCCTGCATGACGTGACAGCTGACGCATCTGATATAGTGGTATGCATAATATGGCAGATTGTATTTTGTGGTTCTTCTCACATAAATCTGTGTGTATGTGTGTGTGTGTGTGAGAATGTGTGTGATTGTGTGTGTGTGGGGGGGGGGGAGGTGTTGTCTGTCTCTAGGTTTTGAAATACAGATAGTGTAGGAAGTAGTTACCTAGATTCCCCTCATGTGTATTTATGAGAGAGAGAGAGTGTGTGCGCTAACCCCTTCATGATATAGCCTATCCAAAATTGACTTCTTTGGTTTCCTGACCCCTGGCTTTCCTTTGCTCTCATTTCTGACCACTGCTACTACTACTGCCTCTTCAATGCATGCTGTTAACTTGATCCATTCCGAATCTTCCACCTAGGTCATTACTCAAGCTTTAGAATACATCCCTTCCTCTTTCCCAACGTCCTCTACTCCATCTCCTCCTGTACAGTCTTTTCCTTGCCACTCCTCTTTTATTACTACTCTTCATCCTTGTCCTCCTCCCAGCAGTACTACCTCACTCCACACCACTCCATCCTCCTGTCCTTGTCTTTTTTCTATTTCTACCTGTACAAACTGTTTTTACTCTGCCCAGTTCCTCTTGCAGTGTTCCTCTTCCTTCCTCAGATGCTTAGATACCCTCCATTTGATCTAATCACCCTTCACCCCTTCCCCCATTTAATAATCCTGCCTCTTTACCCTTTTCACAACCATGCTATCCTATAGTGCTGTATGAACTTTGACATCTAACACATTTGCTCATTTTTACCCATTTTGCTATATGACCCTTGATGTCTAGGACATTTATTTGTTTTAGGCATTAACCATTACCCATCTTCCCAAACCCACACACAATGATACATTTGGGACAGTATAGTAAGAGATTTGACTGAAACGTAAGTGGACCTGCATTTTTTTCGTTAGAAAAGAGTGCCCCATTCCAACACCACTTGTAATATCAAGACTATGTACAGAGTCCTTGTACAATGCTGCAGTCCAAAGACAAAAGGAGGGATTACTCTCACATGGCAGGGTCCCTTCTCAAGAGCAAGGGATATTCTTCCCTAATTATTGTGCAGTAAGGAAGCTTCTGTTTTCCTTCTGAAGTAAGGAGTATGCAAGCATCAATTTTTTGGAGATGGCGTAACCCCTTGACAGTGAGAGGGTACTTCCCTCCCTATTGTTCATGAACTGCAACACTTTTCTTGCTATGTGTGGGTGTGGGAGAGATCAGTAAAGCAGCTAAGTGGTCTATTTCTCTAGGTTGATTTTTTAACCACTTTCCGCTTGGGATGGCATGTTCATACTTGCCATGCCCAGTGTGTTTAATTTAGTAATTGTTTTTACATGTAGATGGCTCAACAAGTACTAAGTCACCAATGAACCAATTACGAGAATTATCTGTCTCACCTATTTACCCTTTTCCTAGATTTTCGATAATATTTTCTATTACTTAATACTGCTGTTAGTAATGTCAATAACAATATAGTAATTATAATGTTTATAACAAGAATCACAGTCTCAATATTGATAGCATTAGTAAAAAAAAAAAAGCTATTTCACGGAAAGGTGAGGTCACAAGATCTACTAATTGATTCCTTTGTGGATATGCACTGGCAGAGCCATCTATGTGCAGATACATTTAACAAAATACTAAAGTGAACGCAAGATTTTTCCGTTGGCATTGGGTTAAACTTATATAGATTGGGCTCCATTTCATACCATGTAATTATCCCCAGATTCTCTGTCTGCCAGTTAGTATATATTGTATGTTTGTGAAAAAATTTGTATCTTTGTCTATTTGTATTTTTATTTTCTTATCTAAAAGACTGAAGAACACTGAAATACAGAATCCCATACCCACACTATGACTGTAATAATCTTAAAGAACTGCTTAATGGGAATGTACAGCTTCTAGGAAACCTATATTTTATCTTGAGCAGTAGTCTTTAATGAAGAAAGATATGCAGCTATTTATTAACTAAATTATTTAAATCATCCTTTTGCTTTTTGGGTTGGCAAACCCTTTCAATTGTAAACATCTGCAGCATGTTGTATTCCAAAGGATAATTGTTCTTCGGTGTTAGACAGTATCTGCTTTTACTTGGGCAATTCTACAGTTGAAGTGTGTGTAGATTTTTTCATTGGATATTAGATGGGTCACTGGGCTATTTTCAGTTTGCTAGGTATTTTAGGTATGGAGGTTTTTAACGGTTGAATATTCAGGGCTACAGATAGATTATGACCTTTTTGTCTGTTTTTGTTTGCTCCTCTTGTCCCCTTCTCCATTTTTTGTTTTGTTATATATCCTGTGGAGTAAATCATCAACAGAGTATGGAAGCTTGTTAGAATGGTAGTTAAAGTGAAGAGCATTAAATTGAACATAATACATAAAAGAATGTAATATTTATGTGCTGTGATATGCAAAACAGTTAACTAGTAAAAACTGAATGGAGAACATTTAGTGAATACATAGGCAGCTTGAACAGGTGCACTAAGATATTAATTACATAATATATGAAAAATACTCATAACTCCAAATAAATTTATTTATATTGAGAATAGAAATGCAGCAATAAAATAAATGATAGTCATTGGATTATATGCTATTGCATTTGTTTACCAGAAACATATTTTAGTTTGCAAAGTATGAATCAGAAGACACTTAAAAGAAAAGCAATAAGGCAGATATATTTATTCACATGTGGTGATGTACTTTTGGTTGTAAAAGATGTATTTTCTTGTACATTATTTTTTTTTTCATGTATTTATCTTTACCCTGCAACTGGCATTATGGAGCATGAACAGTGTGATATGTATATTTCAGTGATAACAGGAAAAATGTGATCTATATAATGACTTTTTGGTAAGGTTATGCTTATTACTTCTAATGGTATTCTGATTGATGAATATTTCTTTTGTGAAAGGAATTGAGATATCTGCTTATCTTAGATTCTTTCTAAATTAGTTTACTTATAACGTTATTTTGTAAATTCTTTATGAGTGGTGCTCTTGGATATTCCATCACATAAAGCTTTAGAAATAGCAAGAGAAATTACTATATGATAAAAGTTAGTTTAGAAAGCCTGCATATTTCCTCCATAGATATTAAATTTAACATTGCAGGTTAAGCCTTTAAAAGATTTTTATTTTATCAGATTTTGATAAAAGGGTGAGAAGGATCATTTATAAAAATTTACAGCAAAAGTGATTTATTTTTTATAATATTGAAAAAGTAGAAGATTCATTAGATAATTACATGCTAGACAAAAAGGTTTTAACACGGTTGCACATTTGAATAAAGTTTATTGTACATTAGTTGGTGTTAATGTTCTGGTGCTGTGGTGAATCTATAAGGTGTTCAAGCAAGTTTCCTTATAACCAGCAGTTCATGCTTTTTTCATCCAGTCTCTCATAAGCAACTTTCTTCATAGAGGAATACATAAATATCTAATCTGATATAAAATGATAAGAAACCTAAAAAAAAAAGTGAGACAATAAAATAAGAAAAAAAATGTATGTTGAGTCTGTATGAAATCACACATTACATTTTCATGTATGATCAATAAAGAGTGCCAATAAAGTAGCTTTATTTCTAACCATGAATATGCTTGAGCTTTATTATAACATCCAGGAGGGAATTGAAATGTGAATTTTCATCACTTGGTTAACCACTGAAACAGTTTTTGCTCATTTTAAAGATAATACACAGAATATTACTTTATACTTTCGAATCTTGAATTATCTACAATGTAATCTGTCAAATGCTCAAGAAACATCTATCTGATAAAAAAATATGGATTGTTCTTTTGGTTAAAAACTTAACAAAAGGCTACCAAGAAGAACTGCATCATACATTAATGAGTATAGACTATAATACCTCTAACTGCAATTTGTGTCATGATCTTTAGTAAAAGCTTATATACAGTATGCATCACTGGATAAAAATGTGGAAAATATTCAGAATTGAACAAAAAACATACTAGAGAAAAACTAACTTAATGGCCATATAGAAATAATACTTGCGAGTATGAAATATAATTAGAGAGAAATGGCTCAGCAAGATTCAGAGATGCCATGCCCACAACAAAGGCAAACTTACCTCCATGATATTTATCATTTGATGGTGCATGGAGGTTAGAGCATCACACATTACATTATGTGTAATATGTACACTTCTGGACATGGAGGGATATTGTATTATCTGAAGATATACTTTACTAAAGTTTGTAACATTCAGAACAAAAAAAAAAGGATAAATAAGTTTACAAGACATTTGAGATGCATTTTTTCCCCAGTTTAGTCACA